GTCCGTCGACAGGTGTTGTCGCAGGTAGGCGGCTGGATGAGTGGCCCCTTTCGGTCGGGCACACTCCAGGGTGTGTTGTTGCTTTATCGCGGGCACGATCACTTGTTGGGGGTCCGGTTTAGGAGTGACAATTGTCAGTTGTGCAACAGGTATGAACTTCTTCTCCCCTGTGATCTGAGAGACCACTTCTAATACGCGAGACGGCGTTCCCGAGATCTATGTTGTAGGTTGGCCAGCCGCGTTCAGGACGCGGGTGACCTCACCATTAGCGTGGCCTGGAGTGTATAAAGCAGTGTCGGCGTCGGATGTTGGCGACCGCCGTGGAGGCCTGTTCTCAGTGTCTGTGTCCGTATCTGTGCCCCGATGGGGGGGGAAAGCCGCGTCTTTTATCTTATTGAGCAGCGAGTTAGCTTTAAGCCACATCTGCTGTGGCGACCGGGGATCCGTTTTCCGTTTGTCGTGTTGCAGTTCAGTCTTTTCGTGCGTGAGGGCCACTGTCTGGCCGTCGATCTTTTTTGGCGCGAGGACCAATGCCTGGCCCACCTGCCCTGGTCTTTTGGAGATGTTCAGTTTTGGGTGGTGTGAGTCGGGCGGAGTCATGGGGGGGCAGGCTATGTGTCCCAGGCTCTGAGCTTTGAGGCATTCATGGTCTGATCTTTGGGGTTGTGGGCAATTATGGTATGAGCGGGGTGCCCCGTGATCGGAGGAGGGCATCGCAGTCTTTTTGTTGACGTCCTTGGAATCTCTGTTTCTAGTTTTCTCTCAAAAAGTGACTCAGTAACCAGGAAGGGGAAGGTTGGCTTTTAGTAGGGGGATGCGCGGGCAGAGGATGTTTTAGTGTCCAGGGTGGTCAGTCTATTAGAAGGGCGGGGTGGGGCGAGAATGGTCGGTGCTGGAGCAGTTGCTCTGTAACCAGGGGGAGCTTGAGACTATTGGAGCTATGTCGAGGGTGGAAGGCATAACCATCTTGCTCAACATAGCTGTTGCCGGGGCGGTGACCCTGTAACCTTGGGGGCTGTGCAACTAAAGAAGTTGTCGAGGGAGGAAGACACCGTCAGAACTAGTTTTGGTCGGTTCTGGGGCAGTTGGTGGGGCTCTGTCACCCTAGCATGGGGGTATGAGACCGGGCGAGTTCTGGTACGAGGACTGATTATCTGGGCTGTAGTCTTCCTTCTGCAGTGCGGGGAAGGAGGTGGATCGTGGGTGGTTTACTTGTATGTTCTTAGTTTGGGACTGGCAGGGGTCTCATGAATGGTTTATGACTTTGGGGACTCCAGGCAACTTTTCTGAGGTGGTTCAATGCTGTTACACTCGGTGATCTGAGGTTGTTCGATGCCAGAACGACGCTGGCCGGTGCTGGGGTGTTGCCCTGTGACCTGCTGATGCAGGAGCGTGAGGCCTGGTAGAGAGATCTGGGGATGCTTTGGGGCGAGCATTCCACGGGACAACCATGGGTTGCTGCTGGGACGACGCTGGTCGGAGCTGGGGCGAGTTGTGTTGCCCTGTAACCCAGCAAGAGGTGGGGGTGTGAGACCTGGAAGAGCTCGGCAGGGAGTAAGACAGCGTTGGAGAGCTTTGGAAAGGTTTCTTAGGGATTTCTGGGGTTCTGGAGCATTTGTAGGATCTCCGCGGTCTATATGCTTCCTGAACTACAGCAAGTGTCTTTAGTTAAAAAAACAAGACTGTTCTCAGCTGAAGCCGGGTAATGGCCCCGGTATCTCAAATGATCTTAAATGAAGGTGAATGGGAGAAGATGGTGGGTTATCACGCGTCCTACCAGTGAGGGGCCTAGCTGGTAGGATGGTGGCTCTGCTGCAGTCAGTCTTCAAGTTGCCGGAGTGAGGTAAAGTGGATTGATGGGGGTTCTTCTGAGTTGTTTCTGAAATTTGCTTAATCATGAAGTTGTCGTAGACATGTCTGAAATAGCTTCAATTTCTTTGAGCCACAGCCGGGTAATGGCCCCTGTATCTGAAAAAAAAAAAAAAAAAAAAAAAAAAAAAAAAAGAACTCTTCAATCGCAGATCCTCCACAGGTACACAGGTACAGCTCATCATACGGAAATGCTTCGGACAGGCATAGCTCATCATACAGAACTCACATTTACCGTAGCTCACAGAAATACCATCTTAGACACCTGCGCAGTCCATCACACACAAACTCACACAGCGTCCCTGCTCACTGGTGGAATAGAGAGAAATGGGACTTCCTAAGGGGCACCAAGAAACTGACACACAGCGGTCCAAGTTATCACTGTCTAGACTTTTCAGCCCTATTCTCAGAGCATGACTTGGACAGAATAGCATTTACAGGCACTAGGGCTAGCTTACCCAAGGCTTAGGCGGATCACGGACAAGCCCGCAACGGCTATTAACCTGTTCCCAGCCCTAGTTGAAGCACAGACGAGCGAGCCTTGTCACCCGGGAACTTCGGACGCCAGGCACAAGCAGTATCCTATCAGCCCAACAATTATAGACTTGAGGCTGCCCCAAACATAGGCATAATGACTGTACCTTCTGTCGGGGGAAGACTGTACCAGTCAGCCTGAACCCAGTCATAAGGGCCATGAGCCCATTAGTGCTATGTTTGTGATTCGAAAGCATGAACATAGACATAAATATGGCCAGGTTCATGCTTTTATAGGATGAAGGACATGGCAACTCAGTTCTATAGACCTCTGGACCTCCGGCGTTGCAATGGGGAGCTTGTGAAGCAGCCGATTAGCTTAGTGGGTAAAGCCCCGGTTGGAAATGCGCATTCTGGCTTGAGGTTGTCAGTTCAAAACCCCGCAGCCCCGCGCATGTACACCAGCGGGCATTGACCTACACACGGCGGTTGGGTTGGTCCACTTTAAGAATTAAGGATTACAGACACTGCCTGTACCACCCAAGGTGTTTAGTCCATGGTTGCGGTATGTTGGGTGCAGGCTATGAGAGGTTTGCCTGATGTTCTTGGTTCATGGGGGTTGCTCTGGTGATTGTACATTTGCCCCTCACTTGAGCTCAGCATAGCATGTGTACAGATCAATTGATCGGATTCAATACCTGTTTAGAAAGAAGGTTCGAAAAACTGCGGGAAGGCAGACAGGGTGGTAGAGAGCTTGATCACATCGACGAGGGATCGACACCGACTGCAGACTGTCGACATCGGCAGCGCGTCGCAGGCGTTCGTCCATGCTGGATGCAATTGCCATCGCCCGAAAGACACGTGGCGACATACGCAGCTTCTCCCAAAAGTTCTTCTCCGTTGCATCATCGCGTTGCCTGAGATCCGCCCACGCCCCCCCTATCCTCCTTTTCATCCACCACCTTGGCGTCACTCGTGGAAGAACACTGCAACCCATGGCGCAGAAAACCCGAACTACAACCTTGGTGATGGTCATGGTATCCAGCCCTTCGACGGGGACTTGATGAAGCGTCTTCCTCTCCCCGCACGGATCTGTGCTCTCATTCTACCCAATGCCCTCTCCTGCAGACAACGCCATGGCCGTCTTCTTGATCGTTGTCAACTTCGCACGTCCATCGTAGCTGCCGCCCTCCATCAACATGTGTGTTGCAATGCTCATGAACCACGAAAATACAACAGCCTGCCAACCCGCCATGACCACAGTAACCTCAGCAGTGTCAGCACCAAGTTGCATGGGTTGCCTATAATGAGGGTAATCCGTTTCAGCGGAGGCAGCATTGGGACAGGGGGGAATGAAGGGGTGGGGGGATACTAATTTTAAGTACAGTATAATCATCATATATGCTTTCTGGCTTCTGGATCTCCTGATGATTTCTAGCCTCTTTGTTATCAGGATATAAGATCTCAGTGATGATAGTATCTGGACCGATTGCTGCTGTGTTGGTTTGTTCTGTGCTTCTGTTTGGCCTATGCCAGAACGACGCTGGCCGGAGCTGGGGCGTGACCCTGTAACTTGCATTGGGCAGGAGTGTGAGGCCTTGTAGAGAGATCTGGGGTTTTGCTGAGGGAGGAAAGCAATCCAGTGGCGAAAGGGGGGGCTGCCTTGACATCTTAGGGGGCCAGGGATAGTCTAGGTGGCGAGAACAGGTCAGAAATGGCAGACATTGGGTTAGGAGGGTATTGTCTCGAAGATGTAATGTCGTGGTACAGAGAGGGTAGGAGGATTTAAAAAAAAGAAAGTATCATTATCTCATCAATGTTTCTGGTGTTCTGGAATTTTTGGGCAGCATCTATTTTTCTTCCACATCCGGGATATAGGATTTCAGGAATGGTCGAACCCGGACCGATATCTACGTAGTTGTTCTTTTCTGTGCCTCTGTTTTGCCGACGCCAGAACGACGCTGGCCGGAGCTG